TGACCGATTCCCGGTTTTTCCAATCTGACTTTAAAATCACGCACTTGTATTTTATTTTACTTATTTTTTTAAACATGTTCAGAGGAGTTGGTATAAGGCCTTGCTACCCCTTGAAACGACCTATATTTCGCCTCACCAATATGATTCATATCATCTAATATGGACCGGTACGTTATGAAATGTTGATCCTTAATCATAATCAGAGTTTTAAAACCCCATTCAAAGAGGTTGAACTGATTTTTTCCAAGGTCACATGGGTCCAATGTTTAAGTGTTTGTATCAATTAGACCTATTCATGGGCTGAGTAGCCCAATGGCCCGACCTGACCTGGCTCATTATAAGTTAGGCTTGGCCATAATTTTAGACATGTGAGCTCGAGCTTTCTCAAAAAAGCATGGCCCGAGCCCGACATGATATTATATATTAAATAACAAAAAATATATTTTATTTAATAAAAATATATACAATGTTTTTCTATGTTCTTCTTCTCTTTTTTTTTCAAGTAATAGTGAGATGTTTATTATTTTTGAGTTTTGAAAGTTTTTAATATAAATAAAACACTTTTTTTATTGAATAAAAAAATTATATTCTCAAATTTCTGGCCGGGCTTCGGGCTTTATATGAGGGTTGACCTCAAGCTCAAGACCTACATCCAATGGTCGGGCCAGACTCGAGCTTGGGCCTGAATTATTCTATTGATACATAGACAAAACCCGACCCGGCTCATAAACAGGTCTAATATCAATGGGTCAATTTGTTTCATCAAATTGACTAAGGTAGTCAGACCATTCAACTCATCACCCAATCATGATACCGGTTTAGGTTAATCACTAACATGCCTTTGATCAAACATCCATTAACTTGATCAAAGACTCAATAACCCAGGTGGTTGAACCATCAACCCACTTGACCCGAACAATGGGTCATGGGTTACGAATTATAATATACTACTGTCAGGGTACATGCCATGCATGTGTGCAATTGATGGTAAAAATATAAGTTAAAAAATATGTTATCAAATATAACTTTTATGTTATCAATTATTCACTTAATAATAATATAAATACTTTTTACTTTTAGGTTTATAAATTTTTTATTAACATTTATATCTACGCACATTTATCTATGTATGTGGGGTGGTGGAGGTTGAAATCATGATCCATGCTAGCAAGAAGATTTGGAGCTCGGTTGCCAACTGATGGCAGATCTACAAGAAAATAGTGTCAGAAGGCCCACGAGGATGTCCCGTGCAAGGAACTCCATGGCTTAAGTCAATAAATGTCGAGCTCTCTGAGGTGATGAAAAATATGCGAATATGAGTATCAAAATGCCCACACAAACTTCATTTGCGACAAAGACCTTTTTTAACTTTTAACTTTGTGACAAATAACCTGGTAAATTAATGCATTAAATTATAAATGCCTACATAAACTTTCTTTATGTATTTCTCGCCACCCAAAATAGCTCTATTTTTTCCAAACAAAACCAGCTAAATAATAATAATCATTTCATTGACATGGAAAAACAAATTTCTTTAAATTATTATTTCATTTTAGGCCTTTTTCGTTTTTGGGAAATAGGGGGGGGGGTAAGTTTGTAGGTTCTGCGAAAAAATAAATAAATTCATTTGTTTCTTGGTATTAGTGGGTCTCTTGAAAATGACTGATTCCAAAGCAACTCATTTACTTGGAGAAGTAATATTTTCCTCAAACTTTGGTAAATTATTTACTTATGTATATAAAAAATTGCTAATATATGATGAAATGATATTATCCCTTCAATAATATAATTTTTTTGGTTAAATTTGTCATTATACACTTTTACATGAATAAAAGAATACTGATAAATGCTTTTATCCAATTAAGTGTTTCTCTTGCTCGAATAAGTGCATTTATCAAATAAATCGTCAAGAAGACGCAAAAGAAACCTGACTAACATGAATGTCTCTCTTCATTTGAAAATATAAAAATTACCCACTCTTTTTTTAGTAAACAAAGAAAACCCAAACAAAACCTTAAAATTATATCTAATGTTGTAAGACTCGAACTAGATACAAAACTAGAATACTTGTTGGTTGGGGGTCAAATGATTTGATCGTGATCATATATGTATTTGAGCATGTTGGCTAGATGGTTAGCTTATCAATTTTGGTCCTAAATGTGTAGAGTTCAAATCTCATTTTAAGTTTGCACAAATGTGCATGTATTAATATTAAATTTTAGTTGAAAAAAATACTTTTTTAGATTGATGTTGGATAATCTTTAGATTTTATATGTATTAGAAAGAAACCTTTACCATTGAATATTAAAATAAGTAAAAAATCTATAAGGAACTATTATATCAATTGAGAGAGGACTTTATATTATGTTTAAAAAAAATAATGGAATCATAAATTATTCAAATAAATAAGAAAAAGATAATTTAGGGATTTAAAACATTTTAAATAGTTGAATGAGTATCTTTTTTCAAAGTTAATTGACGGAACAATAACGGAAGGGATATTTGTCGCAAAAGTTAAAGTTAAGAGGTCCTTTCTCGGAAACAAAAATTCAGGGGTACTTTCTATCAAAAAAAATTCAGGGGTAATTGCCGGTGAACCCATAAGGGGTCTTTGTAATTTATCCTATTCTTTTTTTTTTTTTTTTTTTTTCATTAAATATAATAATAATTATAAACTATAAAAAAGGCCAAATTTCACGGCTAGTGTTTGCTCCTCCTCTTTTTTGCTCCAATTATTGCTTCATCTTCGATTTCTTTCCTTCTCTGCAAACGCCAATGGAAAGAAATTTCCAGGAGGTCGAAGGAGAAACCCTAATTGTTGAATTTTAAGCAATATCCGATTTATTCGAAGCCCAAACCCTAACCCTAAGTTGTCCGGTGAAGTAGTTTCTCTATGTTCTACAAATTCGGATATCGTGTTTCGCGTTAAGAAGAATCGATCTGTCGGAGGGAGGGAAGCAGGAGAGGAGGACGAGATGACGAGGAGGTGTTCGCATTGCAGTCACAATGGGCATAATTCCAGGACTTGCCCCAATAGAGGAGTCAAGATTTTTGGGGTCCGATTAACGGATGGATCGATCCGAAAGAGTGCTAGTATGGGGAATCTAACGCACTACACTGGATCAAGCAACAATAACCATCAGCACAACAATACTCTTGGTTCGCCCGGTGAGACGCCGGAACACGGTGCGTCCGCCGACGGTTATGCTTCTGAGGACTTCGTTCAGGGCTCTTCTTCTAGCTGCCGTGAACGCAAGAAAGGTCGGTTTTTTTTTTTTTTTTGGTTCGTATATCTGAAGCTATGATCTGAAACTGTTTAACCGACTATTAATTTTATTGTTTCTATCGGTTCTTGTGTGAAGTGTGAACTGTGAAGACTAGGCATGCAACCTAAATGATTTCTACCTTAAAAAACGAATAGTGTTTTGTTGTGTATATGAGGAACTGTTGGAATTGATGCTAGTCGCTGTTTGTTCTTTTGCTTCTCCTTAAGAGATAGAAAAGAAAATCATTAATAGTCTTTTTGGAATATAGAAATATTATCTGGTTTGGGTAGTTATTGCTCATTTGGGTGATTGATGCAGATCAACTGTTTTGTTTAGTTGGTTATTAGACTAAAGGAGACAGAAGTAGGAACTTTAGGGAAGCCCTTTTCGTGCCATGAAGGGCGTAGATCAGTCTCATTCATTTCTACTTATGTTGGTTCTTATAGGGTGACACGGTGGTCACAGACGTTGTGAGTTAAAATGAAAATTCTCCAAGGATCAAGCGCCTTATTAGGGGTCCAAATAGTGTCTTGTACTTGAAGAATATTTCTCTGCCGAACACATGCCTGTGAAGCCTGGAAATACTTGCTTGTCTGATCCGGCAAGGGCTTGTATTTGTAAGTTGCAGGTATTGGGTTCAGGTTAAGTTAGTGTTGGCAATACTAAAAGTTTTGCACATGTGGGCTTGCGGAGTTGTTCGAAATTGTTATTATTGATACCTTCTGTTGTTAGAACTTGTCATGATCCATTAACAGTGAACCTCTATCTTGTTTACTACTTTACTTTTGAAGCATGCAAAATAAAGAAAGTAGAAATGAAAAGCCCAAAAGAGAAATGGAAATTTCTGGACCTTATTAGGTTGCATTCTTGCTTTATGTCATTGATTACAAGAGGAGCCAAAAGCACCTTGTACTAATTGGCTATTTTCACATACTGCTTGGGGGCATTGGCACTTGGAAGCTGCCATCCCGGGCATACTGACCAGATAGGATTGCTGATAGACTTCACTTTTCAAGTGATACTTTGAATTCCTGTTGTTCTTCTTCTCCAGACATACGATGTTTCTCGTTTACTTTTTTCAACCTTCCCATACTTCCGGAGAGTACTGAACTTGGGCACTCTATTTCAGTTGTGTGGATGCACATTTATTTAGCATCTGTTGCATGCAAGATGCAATTAGCTTAGGTGTTTATTATCTTCAGAGTATTCCATATTATTAAAAGATAAATGTCATGTGTTTTTTTGTAGGGGTGCCATGGACTGAAGAGGAGCATAGAATGTTCCTTCTTGGTCTGCAGAAGCTTGGTAAAGGTGACTGGCGTGGAATTGCAAGAAATTATGTTATATCGAGGACACCAACTCAGGTGGCAAGCCATGCACAGAAATATTTCATTCGGCAAAGCAATGTTTCCAGAAGAAAGAGACGGTCTAGCCTGTTTGATATCGTCACTGATGAAGTTAGTATCCCTCTTCCCAACTTCCCTATCATGCATATGGACTCTTACTGGTTTACATTCACGTATATACATCCACTCCATTTTTCAGACATTTGCATGTAAGAATTCATATGCATTACCTATGTTGTAACAAGGGAATTATTTTCTGAAAATTGACTGTGCTGTATACTATTTTATATTTGCATTTGAGGCATGTTATATGTTCCAAATTGTGATACATGTTCTAGGTTTTCTAACGAGTCTCTATTGGACATCTGTTATCTGTGTTGGCACTGAGCTGCATCTAAGTATTCCTAACAGACATGCAGGGCACATGGGACATTATGTAGGCAAAAATAACCTTATAATGATTCTAATGGTTTCATCTTTTATTAACTATGTAATTATTCATTTATTTGGTTAGCATATCTTTCCTCCTGGGCTGTCTAAATAGGGAAAGATAGGTTCGTTTATTAGGATCACCTTTTCAGGTTAAGTTTTGGTTTAGGAGATCTTTAGGCAGGTTTCCTTTATTCCATGTTTGATGTGTGCATGTTCATGCTTCTTTTGGGTAACATATATAGTCTATGATATGAATTTTATTTCATTTTTTGTTCACTTCCTTTATTGTTCTTTATTATGAAGGAAAATCAAATTCATTTGTTACAGGAATCTATGTCAAAATGCTTTTGTACTGATAAAATATAAGATGCTTTTATATGTTGGTTCAATTGTTATCCAGGGAAAGCTATGGGTTACTTGTATATTTTTGCTTTCTACTATTACTAAATAAGATCCTTGTCTTATTTATGCAGTCAGTTGACATTCCACCAGTTGTATCACAAGAACTATTCCCCATCAATCATCCACAAGCTGAAACACAGAGCAATAACCCATTGCCGGTTCCTCCAGCTTTGGATGAAGAATGTGAATCAATGGATTCTGCAACAAACTCTAATGATGGTGAAGCTGTCCTTCCAAAGCCAGAGTCTACACAGTCTAGTTATCCAGTTGTATTCCCTGCTTATTTCTCACCATTCTTCCCCTTTTCCTTCCCCTTTTGGCCGGGCTACAATACAGAGGCAATGACAAAAGAGACGTATGAAATTGTCAAGCCAACTGCAATACATTCAAAAAGCCCGATCAACGTTGATGAGCTGGTGGGAATGTCCAAGCTGAGTCTGGGAGAATCCCTTGCTAACTCGGGCCCCTCATCCCTCTCGCTTCAATTGGTTGAAGGTTCCACCAGGCAATCTGCATTTCATGCTAGCTCAGCCACAGGTCACTCCAGCATGGACAGAAACAGCAATCCAATTCATGCAGTTTGATAAGCGTGAAACTTGAGGTTAACTCAGCGCTGAAAGATCCTGCAGATTCCTGTTAATACAAGAAAAATAATGTGCATTTCTAGTTTGTATGTCGCAGTAATATATATTTTTTGCTATGAACTTTGCTTAATAAACCCGGTTCATGCAAGTGACCAACTAAACCCTTGTTCTTTTGGGAAGTCTGAAGTTCGAACCATTCATGACCTTGTAGGAGGTGAAGACTGAGAAGTGGGCAGTTCCAATTGTACCAGTATTTTGTCACACAAAAGGTAGGGTTTCTAAAACAGCGCAAAAAAGTTAAGAGTTAAATCCCAAGTTGGAGGATAGAGAGAACTCAGTTCTGATTTCTGAATTCTTGTCAGCAGTTGACACTGGAGAAACTAACCTGGTTCCAATATGTAATGTGGGAGACCATGATCAACTTCTCTATGTTTGGTAGAACAGTTATAGTCTCCTGCCTTTTTGAATATATACTAATTTGGATGGTAATTCGAATTGCTCATTTTATCAAAGTCAAGAACGTGAAGCACTTGTGTAGGATGCAATTTGATGCCTTACGGTCTTAAACTGGCTTCTTATGACCTATATGAATTGAGATTGAATGCCACGTCTTTTTCCTGCGTCATAATTATTTCTTCTGCTTTCTTTTTCTTTTCTAGACATTTTTTCCTCGAGTTTGAAAGGTATGAAGCTGTGTGATTTTTGTCTCCCTTAATCCTCAGGATAATCAGTCTTCAGAATTGTCTTTACAATTTCATGCAACTAGGAGTGGGGGATGGAGGGAATAAGACAAAATACAGGGGTTTAAATGGAAAGTGGAAGGAACTGTTTCTTTTATACAAGGTATAACTGTATAAAGGGTCATTTATTAAAGGGTAAATTTTTTAAACTATCCTTATGGTTTAGTTAATTGATTATCTATACCTTTACCGTTTAACCATTATCTTGTACCACCCCTATTGTTTTTAATAATTGGCACGTCATTAATGTTAATAAAAAAAACACAAAGTGTCAAATTTGTCTTCCATTATTCCTTAAATCTTTAAAATAAAATTCAACAAATGAAAATTTGTTGGAAGATTGATGCTCCATTTTCGTCTCCCTCTCCATTTCATCTCTATTTCCATCTCTGTCTCTACCTTTGTCTTCATTTTTCGTCTTCGTCTATGCCTTTGTCTCCGTTTTCTGTTGTCTCCATCTCCATCTCTGTCTCTTATGTCCTTCCCAAAGTAGAATCCCTTTTTTCCCACACTCCTCAATCGTCGCCTCTCTTGTAGAGATCTCAATACTATTCCTCAAATTACAGAGTTTTAAGAGGAACACAGTTGTCAATTTCATTTGGAATTTGTTTGATTAATCAATTCCCTTTCAAATCTCTGATCGTTAAACAAAGAAGCGATGACACTGGTATCAGCTTTATCGGCATGCTTTGCAGCCTTGCAAGGTCGACCATGCCCCATAGAGGTAATAGGGAATCGTCCTCAGCAATTTCAACATTGTTGATTGAAAAAATGTCGTCAATGGCAGTTAAGGAAGTAGTCCTGGTATCGGCCACTGGTTTCGTAGGTTTAAGACCTTGTCTCCTCTATTGGTCTCCCATATGATATTAGGGCTTTTTTTTTTGTTCTTCTACAACAGGGAATGCTCCCACAGAGACGGAGGATGGATGACCAGTGAGAGTCTTGAAAAAGATCTGCATACCCCCATGGAGACAGAGGACCAGGTGCAGAGAGAGAGAGAGAGAGCGCTCTACAACAGATTCATTATTCCTTGATGGTGTCAACTCTTTTGGTTTGAGACGAGGAATTAGAAGCTGATCCGTGGGGGGTTGCTTCATCATCTCTATTGTCCAACGGCAATATAAACACTTGATAGTGAAAGATTCATTAATTAAATAGATTGTAAATTATAGGGGTGTTTCGATAGAATAAAAAATACAGGATAAAAAGTAAATCTATAAAATTATAGGGGGCTTCTAATAAATGATCCTTGTATAAAACGTATAATAGGATATTGATTGATACCCTCTCTCCTCCAAGGGCAAAATTGGTAGTTGGTAGTACGACAGAAAGGAAGTCGAGGAATGCAGCAGCTAATATCCCATTGACGCATCAGGTCTTAGTGGGGGAAGTGGGAACAAGACGGTCTCCTCCAAGGCTCCAAATAGATGCAGCACAACCAACCGCTACCGGATAACGGTCATTGGTGTTGTGTAAACTGTGAAGGCCAGCACATTCTGTCTGCGCAGACCAGCTTCAATTTCAATTTATGGTAAAATACAAAAACCTCCCCTGAAGTTTCTGATAATAATTAAAACCTCCCTTTTAGTTCATTTTAACAAATACCTTCCCTTAATTTTTAAACCCATTTTGTGTAAATTATTTTACGTACAATTTTACTATGACATCAATCTCCCATCCCTAAACCCCATCGACTCAGCTTAAACGTTATGCTCTGGTTGTTTCAGCTTGCTAAGAGAATATTCAGGGTTGGAGAAGTAAGGAAAAAGCAATGGCTGATCCGGAATTGTAAGTTAACAGACGAAGAAGAATGTAGTAGTTAGTGGCACAACATGTCATTGAAAATTAACAGAACTCGAAGCAGTAGAGAAGCAGATGAAAGGAGACTAAAGGTTGCATAATCCTGCATCTGATTGTCTGTACAAGAAATAAATCTCATCGAATATCAAAATAAAAGAAAGAAATCTCACTCATCTGATTGTCTGTTTCTGTTCCCCACCTTTTTCTTTGTTCGATAGACGCATTCCAAACCCTAATAAAGGTTGCATAATCCTGCATAGAATATTAGAATCTACTCGCTCTATCAACTGCTTTGGGACGTCGTTGTAGCTGGAAGACGGCACTCTCGGTTCTCTCTCACTTTGGTCTTCTTTCTCTATTATCGTCGTTACCTTAATTTCAGTCATTGAAATCAATCGTTTTTTCTCCACAACACTCCATGGTATACTGAATAAAGAAAATTTCAGTCACTTTGGGACATCGCTGCAGCTGGAAGACGGCACTCCAGCGGACTACCCTCACTACAGCTACAGTGCTGACTTGTAGCTCCTAAAATATGTTAGAAACACTCCTTTAGTAGTCTCTGTGCCTGTTACGCCGGCCACCTGAAAATAGGCTTCAACCGCCGAAACCCAATGCCCTCTGGGATCCCCTTATTTACTGCCAAGCTGCTCAGTTCCTTTTTGACTTCTTTGCATTTCCCCAATCACAGCCATACATTATTTTCTTTTGATTTGAAAAACAATGTAAAAAAAAGTGGTGAATGTGTTGTTACTCGAATGAGGACAATTTTGATTTTTAAAAATATTGTCAGGGATAATTTCGTAACTTTGTATATTTTTCGTCTGCGTTAGTGAGAGAAGGGAAGATTTTATTGGATTTTTTAAAAGTTTAGGAGAGATATTTATTAAAATGAAATTAAAGCGAAGATTTTTCTTATTATCAAAAACTTTAGGGAAAGTTTTTGTATTTTACCCTTCAATTTATGGTTTGGGGCTTTGAGGCTTCGGGGCCACATGACGTAGCAAAGAAAAACTGTTTTTTATATATCTAAAGCGTCAAAGAGCTTAAGTAGGTGAAATGGACCGGGGCCTCTAACGAATGACCCGTGACCCGCTCAAAAAGTGGCCTACTTTTTCTTTTTCATGCCTTCATGTGGCCGAGAAAGAGTATCAGTAAAGAAGAGAACCCAAACCACTCCCTCGGTCCCAGTACCATCTACCATGAGAGTGATTTGATTGACTTGTATGAGATGAGATCATAGGTAGGGCTTCAAAGGGATTGGATCCGATTCGGTAAAGGATATATCCAATCCAATCGGATAAGAAATCAATCGATTGGAATTGTAATAAAAAAATTGTATGATATAATCTATATAAATATATTATATTATACAATATACATATAATATATAAATAATATATGATATATAATATTTATAACTAATAGATTGAATCGGATTATAGCGGATTAGATCGGGATATATCTAAATTCTATCCATGAATTAAATGGATCGACTTTTCCAATCTGATCAGTTTTATTAGGATCAATGGAGGTAGAACTAGAACAAGCTTATCTAGGCTGGTCAGTTCTTTGAGGCTGTCCACGTGTTCACCCAAGTAACACTTATGAGGAATCTCTTGGTGTAAAATTTGGCTTTGTATTTTTTTTTTTTGAAAACCTTTTTTCGTGGTAGCTGCTGCTTGTTGCGTTGGATGTGTCGACTGAAAATGGCTCTAAAGTGTTAAACGTGATAGTATCAAGGTAGGGCTGAAGCAAAGGATTCACGGCTGCGTTTGAAAATGATGCAACTGGAGTGTAAATCCTGGTTCAGGGTAAAACTACAATAAAAAAGAAGTAAATTTGTGTTCAAATAGGCTTTTGATAAAAACAAAAAAAAAAACATATGTTTTATTGAAATTCATGTTTACATCCATTACAGCTAAAAGTCTGTTTGGTAAGAAAGTAAATTTGTCAGTGCAAAATTAATCCAACTTTGCAATTTATGTAGACCGTTTTACACTCTACATATTTGCATTCACACTTATTTGCATCATTTCTAAACACAACCCACATTGTTACTTCTGTTGAACTTACACAACTCGTTAAGAGTTTGAGATGGATCACTTTTCAGGATGCCCAAAAATTCCATAACCAAATTCATTTCATAGATTATGAAAGTTCATCAAATGTCTTTGTCTCAAAGTACTAGTTTGTCTCGTAGTTAATTAGTTTTTGCTCATAAGGTTCAGGACTCATTTGGTTTACAGGAATAGGGGTTCGGAATCGGAATTGGAATGAGCTATTCCGATTGCAATTGTTTGGTTGGGTGGAATCGGAATCTCATTCCCATTTCTGCTGAAATGGCATTCCCCCATTTGAGGAAAATGATCATTTACTGCCCCTCTCTTGGGAATGAAATCCTATTCATGTCTGAACCAAACAAACTATGGGAATAAACAATTCCGATTCCGATTCCAAAATATTTCAATTCTGACTATGAACCAAACGGACCCTCAGTTTGGAAAGAATATAAATACAAATATGTACAATGCAAATACAGATTTAGAAATATAAAATATGCTTTGTACTCTTACACATTTGCATTTATATTCTTTTCAAAATGAGCCTAAACAACCCATCTAATGTATTTTATTAATTTTTAACCTTTTAATCTCAATTATGTTTGTTGTTCATTTCAGTCCAATACATGAGAAAATGTCTTTATTTAAACAAGTTCATGGTAAGATAACCATGTGGCTGAGGTTCTATTTTAAATCGTCCTTATTTCTTAAAACTTAGGCTATGTTTGTTTTGAAGGAAAAAGATCGGTAAAATAAGGGAAAAGAAATATAGGAAAATTTATACAAAATTTATAAAGATTTTCTTAACTTTCCCTACCTTTACCTTCAAACCAAATACAACTTTAAAGAGTAACTGATCAAGATATATATATTATAATTGATAAATTTATTATTTTATATTTATATATTTTTATATACATGTAAGTTAAAAATAATTAAATTTTTAAAACATTTTTAATCATTTTAACACAATAATATGATTGCGGATTGAATCTGAATCTGATATGAAATTTGGCATATTAGATTCGGATCAGATGTTTGATAATTGGATGTGAAACTGCATTCATTCAATTACAGCCCACAATCGCATAGGCATACATTTTTGGATTGAAGACCTCAGCTCTAATCCAACTTAAATTTAAATCATATTGATTTTCTGTTATTTTTTTCAACCTAACCCTAACGTCAACTCTAACCCGATCTAACTCAACCTGACTTCCTGGGTTAGGTTTGGGATAAGCCGACGTAAGTTGCACCCCTAGGCCAAAGGGAACTTTGAGAAATTCGTTCCCACATTTATGATCATTACTGAAGTCTGAAGTAGACCTTCGACTTGGTTAATTTGCATGGAAATACTCATTTGATGGTCTATCGGCATCCTCTGAATAACCGATGATTGTGGAAACATTTGCTCCCCACAGCACATCAACATCTCCCAATCACAATCACAAGTACGGGAGATTTTTCCAATACACACACTAAGATATGCATGTGGGATATTTAACAGAAAAATGCACTGCAGTCCACTGCAGAATTCTGAATTCTACTGCAGATTTACAATAATTTAAAATACCAAATACCTTCACCCTAAACATCCATATCTGCCCTATATTGACATCAATTTTCAGCTGGCACCTACCTATCCCCAATTTATGGTGGGGTTAAGAATTCTGGCAGTGGACTGAACAGTCATTCTCCCAAGGTTTAAAAGGTCAACTTTGACTAAGTCACATTTCTAAGACCAGGGCAGCTCAAGAATTGTTTCAGACTTTCAACGACTTGATCAATTGATCCTGGCCTAATTGATTATGGACTAATCGCAAAAAGGAGATAAGTCTTTAAAATAAGAAATGCCAAGTGCAGCCTAAGCCTAAAATATTTGGGTGGTGGTTTGAAACCAATTATATATATATAATATATATATATATATATATATATATATATATATATATATATTAGACACGTGGCTTTTTCAAATGCCAAGTTCAGGCTACAACACCCACTATTCAGACACGTGGCTTTTTCAAATTTAGACATATGACATTTTTTGAGAACTTGTTAAAGTCCACATCCCACTTAGGGGTGCAAGTCGGGTTTACACTGTTTCGGGCTCAGGTTTCGGGTTGGTCCCATTGAAATTTTGACAAAATCCCAACCCTAACCCGAAAAAATTGCTCCCCTAATCCCACTACCACCATTTAGATAAGTGGCATTCTCATTTTCTAAAAAGCTAGATACGTGGCATTTTCCGAGAAATTGCTACTAAAGCCCACAAACCACTACCACCATTTTTAATTCATTCCAAAAAAATGCAAAAATGGTTATTCACAACCACATCTGCCTACATTCTATCAATCTTAGTTAATCATTAACCTTCTACGTATCATAACAAAAGAAAATTATCCATGTTCTAATAATTATTGAAAAGTTATTTAAAAAAAATTAATAATTATTTAAAATATTAATAAATATAAATTTAACATTATTGATAAATATTAATAATTATTCCATAACGTACAGTTAACATTACTTATTCCCCGTAGTTAGTACGGATCAATCACTAGTTATATAATAAAAATAGAAGTATTGAAGTTGGGCTTGGGCTTAAATTGCTTCAGTCCATGTCGGTTCGAGAGGTTCGCTTGTGAATAACCTGACCTGCCCCGGAGAAAGCCCATTGAAATCTTTGCAGTATTGGGCCTATTTGCCGAACCATCCAGGATTCCCAGAGTTTACACCGCGTAGTGCAGTGCATTGTTTACTGAACTCTCTCGTCTTCGAAAAACCACCACCAGCGTAGGAAGAACAGAGAATCAGAGGAAGACAGACACAATGAATGTTCTTAGTTTTCACAGAAGCAGGTGGAAGAAGAAGACCTCAAACAGACCTTTGTTTTTTTCCATTTCTCTCATGATCATTTTCTTCATCCTCCTCCTCATCTCTTACACTGAGGTACCCAAATCTTTCCTCTTCAATTCACGGAAAGCCCTTAATGCCGGATTCACTCCATGCAGCGGAAGAAACACGGGTGAACGATTTCTATGGTTCGCTCCCCATAGTGGTTTCAGCAATCAACTTTCAGAGCTCAAGAATGCCATCTTAATGGCTGCCATTCTCAATCGAACCCTGATCGTCCCGCCTGTTTTGGATCACCACTCTGTAGTTCTGGGTAGCTGCCCCAAATTTAGGGTTTCGAGTCCAAATGATCTCCGAATGTCCGTCTGGAATCACGTAATTGATCTCCTTCAGAGTCACAGGTATGTATTTTCAATCCCTCTCTATTGAATTTATGGTTTTCTTTTTCCTTTCAAATTTAGAGACTGTAATTAGATTTTCATCTTGGAGGCTTATATTGTACTCGATATTTGGTGCAATTTAACTATTATACTTTTTACTCTAAAAATAGTCAATAACCCAATTTAAGAATTTCTGGAAATTCGTTGTTCTTTTTGCAGGTATATCTCCATGGCCGACATTGTCGATCTTTCCTCTTTGGTGTCTTCTTCCATGGTTAAAACCATCGATTTTAGGGTCTTTCTTTCGTTATGGTGTGGTGTAGACAGAGACCTAAGTTGTTTTGATGTGTTGGAGATGGGATCTTTGTTCGAGAGATTAAAGCAGTGCGGATCTGTGCTCTCTGGGCTGAATGGTAACATCAATAGCTGTTTGTATGCTTTAGATGAAGATTGCAGGACTACTGTATGGACTTACCTGCAAAGGGATGATGATGGAATCTTGGATTCATTCCAAGCAGACGAACAACTCCGGAAAAGGAAGAAAATTTCCTATATTAGGAAGCGAAGAGATGTATATAAGGCGCTTGGTCCTGGTTCTAAAGCTGAAACAGCCACTGTACTAGCTTTTGGTAGCCTTTTTACTGCACCTTATAAAGGTTCAGAGCTTTATATTGACATTCATGAAGCTCCAAAGGATCATAGGATACATTCATTGCTTCAGAGAATTGAATTCCTTCCCTTTGTCTCTGAAATTCTAACTGCAGGAAAGGAATTTTCGGTTCAGAAGATAAAGGTCCCTTTCCTCTGTGCACAGCTTAGAATGTTAGATGGACAGTTCAAAAATCACTGGAAGGCTACTTTTTTAGGATTGAAAGAAAAAATAGTCTCTCTCCAGAAGAAGGGTCCTCTCCCTATTCACATTTTCGTGATGACTGATCTTCCTGAATCTAATTGGACCGGAACTTATTTGGGGGAATTAGCAAAGGATTCAGCTTTTTACAAGTTATATAATTTAGGAGAGGATGATGAGTTGGTGGTAAGGACCACAGAGAAGCTTGTGGTAAAGACACATAAGCATTGCCATCATAGGATTTTACCTGATATACTTTTGTACGTAGAGGAAACTATATGCAGCTGCGCTTCACTAGGCTTTGTGGGGACTGCTGGTTCAACAATTGCAGAAAGTATACAGATAATGAGAAAAAATGGCATTTGCTTCAATCTGGATGAACCTGAAGTGTGAAAAACTAGCTTTAGATCTCATTCACCATAAGTTACAAATTTTGTCACACTGCACATGGCTGCAGACTGTGAATTGTTGCTGAGTTTCAGATAACAAGTAATTATTTTTAGAGGCATGTCCTGCATTATAATCTTCACCAAGCTGGACCTCCCCTTGCTTGGAAAATGACTGGCTTATCATGCCTCTACTGAATCCATTTCTGCAAGAATTATTAACAAATTTCCCTGCATACAACAATTTGCAAGACAATAGAATCTTCAAGCTTGTTGAATGTGATTATTATGTTCTACCAGTCACCATATCACTGTCAACAGCTTCACATTTTTGAGGTAACCCTGCAAAGTCAATTGTCTTTTTAGATGATGTTTCACCTAGTGTAAGTTAATTCATTGTTGCCAAGTTATACTAATATTGGGTTGTTGCATGAGTTTTTGAGATGGAAAATACTGTTGTTTTCGTGATTTCATCTTTAATTCTTCAATGTATAATATATATTTTTTTAATTGACCAGTGTGGAATAGCTGGCAATAGGATTTCTAGCTAAGTAAAATTTTAGTTCAGAACACATCCCTGTAAGAGGCAAGATAATCTTAGTATCCATTTTAGCTGATATAACCGTTCTTAAGATTGCCTCTTTATTTTGGAATCAGCATATATCTTATGATGCTTATGTATAAAGGATTAGAGTGTGCAGCTTAGAACATTGTTGGTCAAGTAAGTGGAATACTGTGGTTCTGAAATTTTCTTTTAGATATGCAACTATTTAATCAACTTACAAAATCAATAGGTTGGTTAGAAGAAAAGAAGAATAAGCCTAGTGAGCAACATGGTTTACATACAGATTCAATCTTTTGGGGGGAGGGGGGTGTAGACAGTTCCTTGTGAACTCAATTTGCCTGAGCATGTCCATGTTCCCAACAGTTGTTGGATCAAAGGGAGATATTTTTTCAGCAAAGAGATTTCATGAAACATCACAAACTACAACAACTGTTGTTGTTTTAGTAGGAGTTAGGGCCTATTGCACCATCAACTTTGGCCCTCAACCATATAATGAAAGTTAATTGATAATTAACATAGTGTTGAATCTGATTGTTAAACACATCATTCTCTTGGAACAAAAAGGGATTGGAACAAGCTAAGGGCATGTGTGCCTGAGGATATTGTGGATATGATCAAAGCAATTCCAATCCCAATTGCTGATCAAGACGATGAAGTATCGTGGGTATTGTGCCGAGGATATAGTCTTTTTTTGGGTTGACTGGGGATTGACTTTGATGAGTTTTACTGTCTTTTCCGCTGTACAGTTTTTCATTGTACAGGGGCCCTATTGTATTTTGGCCTTTTGATATTAATGAAATGCTTTACATTACAGATTAAAAAAAAAACAAAAAAAAAAGGTGTAGTGGGGAGAAAAGTCCACAGAGGAGTTTACATTCAAATCCACTGCAAACCTTCTTACCACTAACACTTTTAAGATTCCCACAACTACAGTTATCAAGAAAATTTGGAAAATATAATGCCCTCCCAAAATTATGTTTTATGGTTTCTCATCCAAGGACAACTCCTGACCAAAATCTTTTTGATGAAAAGAAAATGTAGAGTTGATCCTGAATGCAAAGTGTGCGATCAACTATAGAAGATGAGTGGCATGCTTTCTTTAATTGCAGTCTTGCTAAGCGGGTATGGTTAATAGTAGATCAATGCTGTCCTGATCTATTGATTAAGATAGATCAATTCTAGATTGGTGGAACTGCTTAATACTCTTTAAAGTGGGTTATAGAATAAAAGACATGTGGGAGAAAATTGCTTTCCTCTTGTGGACAATGTGGACAAGCAGAAATGAGTTCATATTCCTAGACAAAACCCCTTACCTGGTCATGATTGTAGAAAAAGCTAAACAATGATTACTAGACTACGTGATGGAAATGAGTTACTTGTAGATAAAACTTGTTATAGAAAGATTGAGCATACCCAATGGAAAACCACCTGATTGATCAATGATTAAAGCAAATTCTGAAGCCTAGGTGGATGAAAATGGAAATGCTTCATTTGGATGTATCCTTAGGAATCACTTTGGACGTCATATAGGGAGCAAAGGCCAGTCCATAGGTCAAACAAATATCAATGTTTCTGAGGCATGGGGGGGGGGGGCAAGAGAAGCGATCCTTATGGCTCTTTAATCATCAAAATGCATTTGGCTAGAGGGAGACTCGAAGATAGTGATTGGTAGTATCTTAGAGAAGATCGAGCCACCTTTGGAGCATTAAAAATTTAAAACTATACCAAAGACATTATATCTATCATCAATCAAGAAAATGGCCACATCTTTACTCTGCACACTTCGATAACGGAACCAAGAAGATAGCCAAATTGATAGTGAGCTGTTGAGGGTTTTGCTTGAGGACTTTTGGGGTTGAGTGACCCATTGCCTATTGTAGTTTTTCTTTCTTTCCCTTGTTGTGACAAAAAAGTTCTAATCAGAAATGAATCAGAAAGCATCTTCTATTCTTAATGCTATGCACTAAATCTTCCATAAGGGATAATTTCATTGTGTTTTTGTAATGAGGATATATATGTAGATTTGCTTAATTGAAAAGCGAACTAGCAAGGTTAAGTTTAGAAGTAGAAGCAATTCAAAGGGTAGAGTAGACTGATATTGGTTTTTAACCAATATTTTAAAAGGTGGAGGCGTGAGGATACATGAGGCAATGAAATATTGCTGACAATAAGGAGATCTCTTATAAAATGACAATCCATTTCAATGTGCTTTGTCCTTTCATGGAAGACTGGATTAGAAGCAATCTTGATTGTACTTAGATTGTCAACCAATAAAGGAATAGGAGAGGGTTGAACAATATTAAGATCTTGTAGGAATGACTAGAACCAAATAATCTCACTACACACTGAGGACATGGCTTTATATTCTGCTTCAGTAGATGACTTGGAAATATCTATTGCTTCTTACATTTCCAAGATATGAGAGAATCATCAAGAAATATGCACCACCCAGTGGTAGATCTTTTAGTATCTGGACAACCAGCCCAGTTGGCATCCGCATAAGCAGAGCTAGAGAGTTGAAGTGATGAGGTGGATGAGAATAACACACCATAGGAAATTGTGAGACAATTTGACTTACAATCTAGACTACATATGAAATGTTTGGGTGTGTCATCGTGAGATATATAAGACTTCCCACAAGCTGATGATACAAGCTGGCATTTTCTAAAAGGGGATCACCATCCTTGCTTAACTTCAAATTGACTTCCAGGGGATATCAACAACCTTAGTATTAGTGAGATGAGCAAGATGGAGGGGGAGAGGGAATTCAGAACTGTAGGAAGATGGAGGGCTGAGGTGTTGATTGAAGCCAAGAACTTCAAGTTTGAAGAGGAACGGATCAGAGGTAAGGAAGCACTGAAGATAAGAGAGAACAACAGGGCGACAGTACTGGTACTAAATGAAGTCATTGTATGGATGAAAGGATTTCTAGATGGGGCTATCAACTCCGGCAAGGTGAATGGATGGAGAAACTCAATACCAGTTCCAGGCAAGAAGTATGTAATAGAACTGAAGAGAAATTGGAAGGGGGTGGTTCATCACGGTGGAGGAGATCATCAGAACATCTGGAAAACAGATGCTCTATGTACCGGAAGGGAGAATGCAGAAAGAACCAGGCGAATGACTGTAAACTTTCAGCCCTAGAACCTCCTCATGCAGTTGGCTGAACTAGAACCACATGAGGGTCACGCCAAGCAATGGCCCGCTTTGATACCAAGTTGAAAAACAGTCCTCTTGATGTATGGAATTGCTTGAGATTAGATGCAAACCAAAAAATAAACAAACAAGAGATGATTAAGAGGAAGAAGAGAGAGAGAGAGAGAGCTGGTGGCAATAAGAGTTAGAGAGTGAGAGGTTCGAACTAAACCTCCCTCTAACACTCTAAACATTTTATTAAGTTAATCTTTGAAATATTACAGAGAGGCCCTTGAGTGGGCAAGAAATTACAAAAAAATAGAACATTACAGAGTATGGGCCCAAAATAATGCCCATTACAGAGGGAAACATAACATAACATGAAATGACAGTCTATGGGCCATTCAACCCATCTCCTCTATAGGGGATAGATGGTGCAAATGGATCATGGGGTGTGTTTGGAATTATCATTACTCAATGCTAGTGAATGAGATAGTGGTAGATTTTTTTTCTAGCCATTAGGAGTATAAGACAGGGTGACCCCTTATCCCCTTTTCTGTTCTTACTTGTTGCTGATGTGCTGGGAAGATTGATCCACAGAGCAGACTCTAGGGGCCTCATTAGAGGATGGAGGGTTGGAAGGGAGACATCCCACTTACTCACTTACAGTTTGTTGATGATACAATCTTGTTTTGTGAAGGAGGTAATGTGAGGTTCATCAGGAATTTGAAATTAGTGATTCAACTCTTTGAGCAAATGTCAAACTTGAAAGTGAACTTCGGGAAAAGTTGTGTAGTGGGTGTGAATATGGAGGAGGGAGAGATTAGGGAGAATGCATAAGTGCTTGGGTGTGAAGTTTCAGGATGGCCTATGAGTTATTTAGGTTTGTCTCTAGGTCATAATCCCAAGAGAGAAAGTTTTTAGAACCCGGTGGTGGAGAGATTTGAAAAAAGACTTGTTTCTTGAAAAAAGAATTACCTCTCCCTTGGTGGAAGGACTACATTGATCAAGGCCACGCTAGCAAACTTACCCATTTATTTCCATTCAGTGTTCAAAATTCCAGTGAAGGTTTCCAGTAGGTTGGAGAGATTAATGAGAGATTTCCTTTGGGAGCTGGGAAAGGAGAAGAGGGACCATAGAGTTAGCTACAAAGTGGTGATCAGGAGTAAAGCTTGTGGAGGTTTGGGGCTTGGGAACATCGGGAAAAGGAACTCGGCCCTCTTGGGAAAGTGGTTGTGGAGGTTTCCTCTGGAGCAAGAGAACCTATGGGCTATAATAGTGGCAAGCATACATGGGATGGAGCAGAATGGATGGGATGTTGGAATCAGAGCAAGGACCACAAGCAATTCATCTTGGAAAGCCATTCGTGATTTGCTTCCAGTCTTCTCCCCACTTGTCAGGTATGATTTGAACTCTGGCAATTGCATAAAATTCTGGGAACAAACTTGGGTGGGGAATGTTCCACTTAAGGACCAGTTTCCTTCTTTGTATGCTGTCTGACTTTAAAAATAAGCCATTTTCTTTTTTCATCACCCCTTCCTCTTCCAGTCCTGGGTTTGGGTGGAACCTGGGTTTGAGGAGGGCTGTGAGGGACTCTGACTTCCACAGTATTTTGAGCTTCCTTGACCTTCTTGATAATGTTTTCATTGACCCCCTAAGGTGGACTCTAGAACTTGGATCCCGACCCCCACGGGCTCTTTTTCCTGTGCTTCCTTCTTCAAAGTCTTATGTCAGTCCACCAGTCCTGCAACCTTCCCTTTCCTGGTTAATGAGGTTTGGTGCAAACCAATTCCTCCTAGGGTTGGTAGTTTTTGTTGGGAAGCCTATCTGGAAAGATTCAATACTAGTGATTTGCTTCAAAAGAAGAGACCC